CTGGAGGAATGGTCTAGAAAATGGCTGCTAAAGTTCAACTCAGGAAAGTGTAAGGTGATGAAATTAGGCGAAGGGAGCAGGAGGCTGAACACAAGGTATCATCTGGGAGGGGAAATCCTGCAAGAGTCAAATAGAGAGAAGGATCTGGGGGTTGATATCACACCGAACCTGTCCCCAGAGGCCCACATCAAAAGAATATCATCAGCGGCATATGCTAGACTGGCCAACATAAGAACTGCCTTTAGAAACTTGTGTAAGGAATCTTTCAGAACCCTGTATACCACTTATGTAAGACCAATACTGGAGTATGCAGCTCCAGCCTGGAGTCCATACCTAGTTTAAACACAAGACAAAGTTAGAGAAGATTCAGCGGTATGCCACCAGGCTCGTCCCGGAACTGAGAGGAATGAGTTACGAGGAAAGGCTAAAGGAGCTGAACCTCACATCCCTGGAAAACAGAAGAGTAAGAGGAGACATGATCACCACCTACAAAATTCTCAGGAGAATTGACAGGGTGGACAAAGACAAACTCTTCAGCACGGGTGGGACACGAACAAGGGGACACAGGTGGAAACTGAGTACCCACATGAGCCAGAGACGTTAGAAAGAACTTGTTCAGTGTCAGAGTAGTTAACAGGTGGAATGCATTAGGCAGTGATGTGGTGGAGGCTGACTCCATACACAGTTTCAAGTGTAGATATGATAAAGCCCAATATGCTCAGGAACCTGTACACCTGTTGATTGACGGTTGAGAGGCGGGACCAAAGAGCCAGAGCTCAACCCCCGCAAGCACACACACACACTGCTGGAATGGCATGCTTCAAAATAGGGTCCGGAACTAAGAAGTACGAGTTACAAGGAGAGACTAGAGGCGTTAAACATGCCAACACCTACATATCCCAGTGGGTTTCCTATCACCTCATGCTCCTGTTCACCTTGCAGTGAGTAGGTAAACAGGAGTTAGCTCAGCTAATTGTAGGAGGTCGCATCCTGAACAGGACCAGTAATACTCCCTTGAAACAAGCCTAACATATATGAATACACGCTGGCTCCCTGTCCCCCCGACACAATGAATTAGTATTAACAAATATTAAAAGCTATGTAGGTTATATGTATACATGTATAAATCTAAATTTATATATGTATAAACGCTATAGGCTGTGGGATTAGGCTTCAGAAAGATATTTATATTATATATATATACAAGAAAATACTGATTAATACAGAAATAAATTTTAACTGATATTGTATTAACTGTATTGTTCATGTATAAACTATATTTGCTGTATATATAAACGGCATAAGAATGCATATCACAAATACCAAATTAATCAACAACAGATAACAGCAGATTGATGAAGACAAGGACCTTGAAGGCTGAATCCATCATTCATTACAAAGTTGCACAACAGTGAGGGGAAAAAAGATAGCCAAATCCTTGAAATAATCAATCGTAACTTCGAGTTTATCAAGGGAAAGGTGGTTATTGAACTGCTTTCAACTCTGGTTCACTTGGGATAGCCTAGCATGGAGACCTCGGGCCAGATTCACAAAGCAGTTACGCAGTAACTTGCGAACCTGTACATCTTTTCTCAATCTTTGGCGGCTTTGTTTACAATTATTAGACAGTTAATGAGCTCCGAAGCACCAGGAGGCTGTTTATAACAATAACAACAGTTGATTGGCAAGTTTTCATGCTTGTAAACTGTTTAATAAATGTAACCAAAGCCGTCAAAAATTTGTGGAAAGATGTACACGTTCGTAAGTGCTTGCGTAACTGCTTTCGTGAATCTGGCCCCTGTACATCTTTTCTCAATCTTTGGCGGCTTTGTTTACAATTATTAGACAGTTAATGAGCTCCGAAGCACCAGGAGGCTGTTTATAACAATAACAACAGTTGATTGGCAAGTTTTCATGCTTGTAAACTGTTTAATAAATGTAACCAAAGCCGTCAAAAATTTGTGGAAAGATGTACACGTTCGTAAGTGCTTGCGTAACTGCTTTCGTGAATCTGGCCCTTGTACATCTTTTCTCAATCTTTGGCGGCTTTGTTTACAATTATTAGACAGTTAATGAGCTCCGAAGCACCAGGAGGCTGTTTATAACAATAACAACAGTTGATTGGCAAGTTTTCATGCTTGTAAACTGTTTAATAAATGTAACCAAAGCCGTCAAAAATTTGTGGAAAGATGTACACGTTCGTAAGTGCTTGCGTAACTGCTTTCGTGAATCTGGCCCCTGTACATCTTTTCTCAATCTTTGGCGGCTTTGTTTACAATTATTAGACAGTTAATGAGCTCCGAAGCACCAGGAGGCTGTTTATAACAATAACAACAGCTGATTGGCAAGTTTTCATGCTTGTAAACTGTTTAATATATGTAACTAAAACCGTCAAAAATTTGTGGAAAGATGTACACGTTCGTTAGTACTTGCGTAACTGCTTCGTGAATCTGGCCCTTGTACATCTTTTCTCAATATTTGGCGGCTTTGTTTACAATTATTAGACAGTTAATGAGCTTTGAAGCACCAGGAGGCTGTTCATAACAATAACAACAGTTGATTGGCAAGTTTTTATGCTTGTAAACTGTTTAATAAATGTAACCAAAGCCGTCAAAAATTTGTGGAAAGATGTACACGTTCGTTAGTACTTGCGTAACTGCTTCGTGAATCTGGCTCCCCCCCCCCCCTTCGTCTTCAGAAGGACATATATATTTAGCTGCTCTGGAGAAGGTGCAATACCGGGCAATAAAAATCCTTCCAGAGCTAATTTAATTTCAGTATAGACATAGGAACCGCGGGAGAGTCAACAGGCCGCGTCGACCTGCAGAGGTTGAGACACTAATCAGGAGGATTGAAACCCTTACCTGGAGGTTTAAAACCCTAATCAGGAGGATTGAAACCAGATCAGCTCCGGCGTCAGGGAGCTCTTAATTCCGTTATACCTTACGACATCTTAGAACTCTTGCCAGGATTCACCAAGTATTTACGCAACCATTTACGACACCTGTTCATCTTTTGTTTTTCCAGTCATGGCGGCCGTGTTTACATTTAGTAAACAATTGATGAACGCCGAGGTACTACGAGGTTATGACAATAATAACCTTGAGTTTGTGTAGTTACGAGGCTCGTAAATTGTTTATGTAAACAAAAGCCGCCATGATTAGAGAAAGATGTACAGGTTCTGGATTATAAAGGTCGACTTCCTGCAAAGGTCGACCTCCAGCAAAGGTCGACCTCCTGTAAAGGTCGACCTCCTGCAAAGGTCGACCTCCTGTAAAGGTCGACCTCCTGCAAAGGTCGACCTCCAACAAAGGTCGATCTCCAACAAAGGTCGAGCTCCAACAAAGGTCGACCTCCAGCAAAGGTCGACCTCCAACAAAGGTCGACCTGCAACAAAGGTCGACCTGCAACAAAGGTCGAGCTCCTACAAAGGTCGACCTCCAACAAAGGTCGAGCTCCAGCAAAGGTCGACCTTCAACAAAGGTCGAGCTCCAACAAAGGTCTACCTCCAACAAAGGTCGAGCTCCAACAAAGGTCGAGCTCCAGCAAAGGTCGACCTTCAACAAAGGTCGAGCTCCAACAAAGGTCTACCTCCAACAAAGGTCGAGCTCCAACAAAGGTCGACCTCCAACAAAGGTCGAGCTCCAACAAAGGTCGACCTCCAACAAAGGTCGACCTCCAACAAAGGTCGACCTCCAGCAAAGGTCGACCTCCAACAAAAGTCGACCTCCAAGAAAGGTCAAGCTCCAACAAAGGTCGACCTCCAGCAAAGGTCGACCTCCAACAAAGGTCGAGCTCCAGCAAAGGTCGACCTCCAACAAAGGTCGAGCTCCAGCAAAGGTCGACCTCCAACAAAGGTCGAGCTCCAGCAAAGGTCGACCTCCAGCAAAGGTCGACCTCCAACAAAGGTCGACTCCCAACAAAGGTCGACCTCCTACAAAGGTCGACCTCCAACAAAGGTCGTCCTGCAACAAAGGTCGACCTGCAACAAAGGTCGACCTCCTACAAAGGTCGACCTCCAACAAAGGTCGACCTGCAACAAAGGTCGACCTCCTACAAAGGTCGATCGTCAGCAAACTGTTGAATTGTAAAAATTCATCTTGAAAATATCGTCAGGACAAACGGAGGGACAAGCCGCCGGCTTCCTGTCCTCGTCGAGGCCACTAGAGAGCTAGTGGCCCTCAGGTAAATAACCTTAACAGGCCTCCAGTCCATTATTTATTGACCTTTTGATCTTAAACGATCTTAAAAAAAATCTTAAACGACCTTACTTCTTGGCCTAATAAGCAAGGCCCGATTTGCCTAACAGGCAGAGTGATTAAGTTATAATTAAATTAAACAAAAATTAAATATATAATATAGTGGAAAGTTATATCATTCCATAAGAAAAAAAATGAAAGTATATATAATTTCTGGAAACCTCTGCTGCTAATTAATGTTCATTCTAAAATTCAAATTCAAATTTCAAAATTAATATCTAAGTTATATCTTATCCATTTTTCAAGACAATTTCCTTCAATCTGGAATTTATTTATCAGGACGTCAGACTTGAGACAAAGTTAAGAGGCAGGGCGGGGCGTCGCTTATTGGTTGGTTGGGGGATTGTGGGCGTGGCTAAGTGCGGCGTCTAGCACTGTGATTGGCTGGTGAGTGTTGTCGCTTGGAGGTGTGTCTCAACGGGTATAAAAGAGTCGGTTGGGTCCAAATTAGGCGAGTTATAGCTGGACTTGCTCGAGCACACAGATTTAGTTTGACGGGATCACAACGATTTCTCTGCAATAATGTGTGGTAAGTACATATATATATATTGTTCACGCATATGCTAAACAGTCTCTTAGTTACCATTATATCAACGCTATTTGAATGATCAACATCTACAGATGTGATGTGACGTGGAGGTGGCGTAGAATAGCGTTTAAGAAGCATTTGGATCCCCTTTGGGTGTATCAGTAACGGGATAAGGATCATGTAGTTGATGCTCATTTGTCTCCCACCCCGTGTGGAGCTGCGGAGTCTGGCGTCTATAATTGATTTCGTCTGCTGTCGGGCCAGTA